CGCCCTAACTCCTAGGGGGGATAAGGGGGAGAGGAGGAGACGAGGAGGGCGGAGCGCGCGCCCACGCACCCCCGCCGCTGCTTCTCCCTCCCCCCTCCCTCGAGAGATCGTCGTCGCGTCGTCGTCGGTCGTATTCCACCTCCAGGGGTCCGTCTGTCTGTCCGTCTGTTTGTCTGGATCGTTTCAGGGCCCGTTTCGATTTCAAGGGTAAGCTTCGTACGCCACTGCAGGGGCGAACAGGCTGAACGGGGCCCTGGGGCGGCGATGGCGGTGTCAGGGGTGAGGGGGGGGTCCCGGCGCGGGTTTTGCTGAGCGGGTGGCTCCTGATAACCTGTGCCCAGAGGCTCCAGGAAGTTGGCGGTGTCAGGGGTGGTGGGGGGGTCCTGGCAAGGTTTTGGCTGGGTGGGTGGCCCCTATGAACCTGTGCCCAGAGGGGCCAGGAGGCTGGCGGTGTCAGTGGTGGTGTGGGGTCCTGGCGCGGGGTGGTGGGGGGGTCCCGGCGCGGGTTTTGTTGGGTGGGTGGTCCCCAAGAACTTGCGCCCAGAGTCTCCAGGAAGCTGGCGGTGTGAGGGGTGGTGGGGGGGTCCCGGCGCGGTTTTTGCTGGGTGGGTTGCTCCTAAGAATTTGTGCCGAGAGGCTCCAGGAGGCTGGCGGTGTCAGGGGTGGTGGGGAGGTCCCGGCGCGGTTGTTGCTGGGTGGCGGGGGGGTCCCGGCGTAATTTTTGCTAGGTGAGTGGCCCCGTGGAACCTATGCGCAGAGGCTCGAGGAGACTGGCGTTGGCACGGGTGGCGGGGGGGTCCTGGCGCGATCTTTGCTGGGGAATTGGCGCCTCAGAACCTGTGCCCAGAGGCTCGCGGAGGCTGGCGGTGTTAGGGGTGGTATGGGGGTCCTGGCTGGGGGTCAGAAGATCCCGAGACGAGAGCTGAATCTCACGCCTCTGGGGTCGGCGGATTATTTCTTGGATGTGGTCCTTAAGTACGATGGGAGCAACATAATCCTGAAACAGGCCTCGGAAAATTAGCGAACCTCATGCCATATTCATGCGTACATGCTCCCAACATGATCAAAATCGGAGGTGGATTTCATGAGTTGCACTTCGACCGCAGTCTTCTCCGCGCAGTGGGTATGGATGAACATCTGACCCCGAGAAGCCAGACCTTTCTCCATATCCACCGCGCCTCGGCCTTTCGGCGCCCCTTCTTAGAAAGGCCCGGGCGCAGTGGATATGGACAGACATCCTGCCCACATGATAGGTTCGAACGACCGGTGACCGCCGGAATTCTGCCAGCGACTCCGTGGACCACTGAAGGCTGTGCGGCCCTAGCACATCGCCACTCGCGGGTCGGCCACGGGCTGGACTGCTTGTCTCGCCTCGCCTCGTCGCCTCGCCTCGCCTCGTCTCGCTTCGTCGCGACAGGCACGGGGCGGGAGCGCGCACGCCTCCAGGCGTTCTCGCCTTCTTTGCGCTTCCGCTCCGCCCCTCTTCCCGCCCGCCCCCCCGGGCGACGCACTGCCAGCGTGGCCACCTCGGCTCGAGGCCGCGCCTTTGTTTATTGTTTCCGGCTCCTCGGAGGTGGGCTACACCGACACCAGCATCTCGGCGGCTTGCCCCCACCGAGGGGAGCTGATCCCGGTCTCTGCGATGGTGGTACACCTTGGTCGTTGAAAGCTGGGTTGTCTTGGATATCCAGGTCGTAATTGTCTTTCGGCGCTTTCCTGCTCCAAGAATCTAGCGGTTTTTCGGTCTTCCCTCCTCAGGAGGTGGGCGGAGACCCAATCTACTTCCAATGCCTTCCTACTCCGTGCTTCTCCGAGCAGCGGGTAGTGCTTGAGTTTCCTAAGTGGCCGACCGATTACCACCAGCACCAACGTCCAGGATCATCTTCTCTCGGGGGAAGCACCCCCCCCCCGGTGTGGTCGGTGCTCATTTCCAGGCCTGCGGCCGTCCTGTGCCCGGCCCGCGCTCGGGGTCGCCATGGATCCCCTGCGCGAGGCGTGCGTGTCAGGGGACCTGAATGCCATGGAGCTCTGGGCACAGCAGAGAACCCCATTGCCGCAATCGGAGGACCCCTCTCAGCCACGCGCAGAGGGGACTTTGGGGGAGGAGGAGGATGTCTCAGAAGCGCTCCTGCCTCTCGGAAGGCGCGGGCCTCGTCTGCAGATTTAGTGGCAGGCGCGTTCTAAGAAGCAGCCTCGTTATAAGAAGCTGCGTGCGCGCCGCCAACCCTCTCCCCCTTGCCCCCCTTGTGCGCGCCGCCCTCTCCGGGAAAACCCGCCGACCTCGACATCAGCCCTTTTAGTTATGGTTGCAGTCGATTTGGCCGTCTGGGACGCCCACATCGACGACAACCAGTACTCGTTTGGTTTCGATGTTCTGACGCATTCGCCAGACATCCCCCATGTTATGTCCTCGGTGTGGCTTTCGCTGGCTGTCCCCGCAGGAGCGGCTGCTGCCTGGCGCCGACCTGGAAGAGCGCCCCGACGGCAGCAACACGTTGGTGCACTACGCCGCGATGGGCAGGCGAGGCGGGCGCGTTCGGACCTCCAGCGTATTGATGAACAAATCAGACGTGGGTTCCTCCTTTGTCTCCTCCCCCTCCTCCTCCTCCTCCTCCTCCTCCTCCTCCTCCTCCTCCTCCTCCTCCTCCTCCTCCTCCTCCTCCTCCTCCTCCTCCTCCTCCTCCACGGTGGACGCTCCTGGGTGGCCCAGGGAGCATGACGCAGCAGCTGACATGGGCTCGGGCCTCGAGGAGGCGATTCACAGGACCCCTGGTGCCAGCGGCAGCTGCGCCTGGCGGGGGAAGGTTGGCGATGCCAACCGAGGGGATCGCCAGAGCTACGAACGCAGCGAACGGTACGGTCGTGGGGGCCTCACCGATGCGGGCAGACCGTGAGCCTCAAGTGCACGGCAACGGCAACACGAGGGCGCCCACAATCCAGCGAGTTGACCTTGCAGGGGCCCCTTCCTTGGAGGTGAAACGGCGGCGCTGCGTGAGCGCATCAGGCAGAAGGAAGTGGTACGGCAGCAAGCCCCAGCGGACCAGAACACGGGTGGTGGCCTACCTGCGAGTATTGCGTGGGCCATCGTCAATGTCGGGGCGGCCTGCGTTTCGGCGTAGGACTCCTGAGAAGGAGAAGACGGCACGCTCGTGTGAACCCACCGAGATCCTTCGGGTCGGCCTTGTGGTGCTGAGGCCGGGGCTGGAACGACAGGGAGGTCCGAGTTCTCGACGTGCCGAATCGTTGGGGGACCCTCGGCAAGGGCAGGCGGCTACGCCGACTGCGTCGAGTGGATCGTCTTCGCCGTGCGCATCGGTTTCCAGGCGAGCCCCGAGCGTAGCGTCCACATTTCTCCCTGCCAGGCCAGGGGGAGGCCTGCCACCGTCAGTGATGCAGCTTCTTGTCGTTCCCCTGCCAGGCGACGGGCCAGGCCTGCGGATGCGCTGAGCTGGACCCCATGCCAAGCGAGGGGGTGGGCCTGTGGTGACGGAAGGCAGCTGCGCGCGAGTGGCGCTGGAGGGAGGGGGCGAGACAGGCCCCCGTGGCACGGTGGAGGTTCTTGAGTGGCCCACGGGGCATGACGAGGCAGCTGACATGGGCTCGGGCCCCGAGGAGGCGATTCACGGGACCCCTGGTGCTAGCGGCAGCTGCACTTGGCGGGGGAGGGTTGGCGGTGCCATCCGAGCGGATCGCCGGAGCTACGAACGCAGCGAACGGTACGGTCGTGGGGGCCTCACCGATGCCAGATGATTGCAGGTAATGTCACGATTCGAGAAGTCCGATAGCGTTTCCTTGAGGGGCGTGTAGGCCACGTGCTGCGCGCGCTGTTGAACTGCGTGTCGCTGAGCGCGGCGGCCGCGTGCTCGGCCACGATGGCAGGACCGCCGCATCGGCGTCGTTATTCTTATTCGTATTAGTATTATTGCTTCTCGTAATGGTATTCGTCCTCCTCTTCCGTTGCACATTGCCGCTGTTGAGAATCCTCTGCCTCCGTTCTGGCGAAGCTCAAAGCACGCTGCTTCCAGGTTAATTCTTGGGTCTTGGGCTTTCGAGTGTACCACCAGCCACAGTATATATGAGTCTCGTGTGGTCCCGCGGCCGTTCAAGTTCGCCAGCATCCCCCATGGGGTCTTCAGCGTGGAAGAAGACGGGTTGCAGTTCCTTGCTTGCTCTCCGAGGATTTGGATACCGCCCAACGCTATATTCGCTGGCAAAAAGCTTGGGCGCAAGGTCCAAGCCCGTCGGATGGTGACGTTAGCTCGTGCATGTCTGACTCGCGTAGCTACCAAACGTACTGGCGACCTGTACCACGATCGTCTGGTATCGAATTGGCTTGACACGCGTGATGATATATTCCAAGCTTGGAAGTTGAAGGTCACGTCCAGGCATTCGATTTTCATGCAGATCCAAGAAGCCCGCGACAGCCTCTACAGTATTAATTTTAGTCCTGGCCATATTCGGCCGAAGCGCATTCACGCCTATACTCATCAATCCGTGGTTCAAGATATTCTCCTTCCTGATGTTGATTCTTACCTCCTCCCACGTATTCGTGAGTGGATTGCTGCATGGTTTGGGTTCTCTTGTGGCGACCAGGCTCAGCCTGAACGGCGCACATCATCTCAGCGCGCGCTGCTGTGGCACTGTGGAGTGGGGCCTTCGTTTCCCCCCTCCTCCTCCTCCTCCTCCTCCGCCTCCTCCTCCTCCGCCTCCTCCTCCGCCTCCTCCTCCTCCCTCTCGCGCCTCCCCCGCCGTTGCCCTTCGCCCTTCCCTCCTGCCAGCGCCCAGTCGCAGCGGGCCTTCGCCGGGCCCCGGGGCCCTCGAGCCACGACTCGGGAGGAGCAGCGGGCCCCCCAGGGCACCCGGGGGGCCGCACGTGGCAGCCGCTCCGGACACCGGACGCTCGGGCACGACAACTGGCCCTCGCTCCGGGGCGCCCCGTGGGCGCTCTCGGAGTGTCCTATGGGGCGTTCCAGAACGGCCGCGGCGCCCGGCGCTCGTCGGGGGCGCCCAAGAGGGGCGCAACGGTGGTGGGGGGGACTCGTGCCGGGGGCTACCCTGCCTCCCCAGACGTCGCGGCCCCGTCCTCTTCCTTCGAGGGTCCCCTTGGCCCGCCCCCCTCGTCCGCGCAGGCGCTTCGGGCCATGCGGCGCGAGCCCCCGTCTTGAACGCCCCCCTCGCTGGCGCCCCCCAGCTCGGCGCCGCCGGGACGGGCGCGTCGTCGCGGGCATCCCTGGGGGCAGCCCGCAGGAGAGCGGAATGGCAGGCGTCATTTCTGCGCGGGGGGGTGCCGGAGCGGAGCAGGAGGGGAACGATGTTTTTATTTCGTCGTGCCTTCGAGGCATGTGTCCATATCTGCGAAGGGATTACCCATGATGGTGGCGTTGGGGTGCCCAAGAACTCGACGACTGTTCTCCAATCGAACTGCGGGAGATCAAGGCAGGTTGCGTCCATGGAAAAACTCGAACACATTGGGGGCGTTCCAGCGCGAGACGAGGGACAACCGAAGTCGCGAAACCTTCCGGCCATCAGTGACTTCAAACGTTTACTGAAGAAGTTCACCTGGGGATCATTTCGGGGCGGAGGGCTCGAAATATCGGTTCTTGTTCTCCCTTGTTGGGGTTCTTTTGGATCCTTTGGGGGTGTCCTGGGCTGTTTGGGGGGCCTCTTGGGCTGTCTGGTGACCCTCTTGGGCCGTCTTGGGGACCTGTTGGGAGTCTCTCTGGGCGATCTTACGGGCCTCTATGGCAGCCTTGGGCGCTTCGAAGACCAACCAAGAACGCGACTACATATTTTGAATGCGCGCTTTCCTGTGGGATTTGGGCATTTTTTTCTTCTCGGGGTTCTCAGATATTCCTCTCTCTGACTGCAACCAAAGCCCACGGTAAGAACTTTCGACCTTCCTCGGGGTACCCTCGCGTCTTTGCCTCGGCTGCCCGTCCTTCGCCGCTTGAACCGGCCAGATCCTCAGGGCACCTTGGAGGCGGGCGGCGTCCTTCGGCTGCACGGCGGAACGCCCATTCGGCAAGGACGCGTGTGGGCCAGGGTGCTTTAGCGTCCTTGGATCAGGTCGGGCATGTCCCCCTACAGCCGGATTTTGCGCGAAGAATTGCACATATCCCCAACACATACAAAAATAGTCAAGAGTGGTAGAAAAATCGTCCCAGACTATGTTTTGATTATTTTAGATACTCCTCTTGTAGAGGGACACGCCCGAATTAATCCCTGGGGTGTTGGCAGCCCGCCGCCCAGATCATGCCAACGTCGGCGGCCCACGCCCCTGCGCTGTTACCGCCCGTCCTTGTTCTGGATTGCGAAGGCATCTCCTCTTCGCCCTCGGCCACGGCAAGGATCAGGGGCAACGATAGGGAAGGATAGGCACAGGGGGGGTGCATCGACCCCCAATCGTCCACTGATCGCCAATAGGGACCCGATAACCCCAGCCTGCCCAGGGACGTTCGCGCTTCGGGGACCTACCGACGATGATATCGGCGATGTGCCGCCGATTCCTGGTCGCTGTCCCCCCATCGCTTCCCCTCAAAAGGGGGGGACCGGACGCCGTGGCGCTGCTCCTGCGGGCGCGGGCCTCGGCGGTGGCCGCCACGAATGAGGGGAAGCAGCCGCTGCACCTGGCGGCCGAGAACGCCCGGCACGGCGCGGGCCTCGTGCCGCTGCTGCTCGAGGCGCGCGCGGACGCGGACGCGAGGACGACCGCGAACCGGACGCCGCTGCACTTCTGGAAGGAGGGAGATCGGCGCAGGCACACATCGGTATCGTTTAACCGATCCCCATCCCCATCCTCATCCCCTTCGAGACCCCCGCCAAAGTATTCCCCCCCGTTGGGAATACGCCCCTCGAAACCCGAAGGGAACGGCCTATATCCCCAGCTAGGGGGGTAAATCGGCCAGGGTGGCCCAGGCCACGCCGCTGGGGATGGGGATCGGTGAAACGGGACGCAATACTGTCCGGGGAGTTGTGCACCGAGTTCATGGCTTCTGCTCCGGGGGGCTCATGGGCTCGCCCCCGATCGGGGTCTCGTGGAGGGGGAAGTCTGGGGTTCGAGGCTGTCGGGCGTCTCCTCCTCGGCCCCCGACGGCCTGCGGGCCTCGGGGTGTTCTCCAGCGGCGGAAGCATGCAGTCGGCCCGGAGGAGTAGGTCGACCCTGCCAAGTCAAGGGTACCCTCGTGTCCTGTGCCTCGCGACGCGTGCCTTCTCACACTCCTATGGCGATGTGGCCCTCGGAAGGGTCTTGGGTCCTCTCGCGCGTCATGTCCAATCAAGGCCGACTGTTCACCGAAGGAGGAGACGCTGCATGAGCAGAACCTTTCGGAGCTCCCCGCGGATCTCTTGGAGTGGCGCTGGGCTCCCCCCCCCAAACCGACGGCGCCTCCGGCGCCGCCGCTGCGCGGATCCCGCCTGGACCTCCAAAAGTCTACGATTAAGTCGGGCCTGTCCCTCTACAGGAGGGATATTCAAAAATTGTTGCATATCTTTCGGATATTTTCACCATTTGGGAGTGTGTTGTTCGTACTGCTCATTTTTCGTCGAAAATTCCCCTGTAGGGGATCACGCCCGACTTAATTTAATCGCTTCGCTCATTCCGCCGGCCCTGGAGCCCTCTTTAGGGCCTCGTGGAGGCCTCTTGGGGACCTCTTGGGAGTCTCTTGGGGCTCCTTGGCGGCGTCTTGGGGGCCCCCAGGGCCTCTTGGGGGCTCTTGGGGGCCTCTTGGGGCGGGAGGGGGGGTAGTCGATTGCGGCTCCCCCCTCGGAGGCCACGATGGGGGGTAGTCGATTGCGGCTCCCCCCTCGGAGGCCACGATCCTCGTAAGGGGTGTCGAAAAATTGCCCAGTCCAGCATCTCTGGCCCCCACCCTGCCGGGGACCTGCCGGGGTACTTTTCGCCCGGGGACTCCTAGGGGCCGCCCCGCGCGCGCGAACTAGAAATACTGTTTACCTGTTACCGGAGATCTTAGCACGCCCTGGCCCGTTGGGCCGGCGAATTCTACGATTCAGTCGGGCCTGTCCCTCTACAGGAGGAAGATCCCAAAAGAGCAAGACCAAAAAATAGTCTGGGGAGGATCTTTTGAGCATTGTTTGACCGCTGTTGTATTTTTTCAGAACTACTTTTTAGTTCTTTGTCCAAGAGCCCCCCTGTAGGAGGACAGGCTCGACTTCGGTCTGCATGCGCGCCGCCTTCGTACACCGCACCGGTGCGTCGACGTGCCGCTCGGGCTTCCGGGCCGCTCCGCAGATGATGGGTCGGCGGGCCTGCCCGCAGCCGAGGCCTGCCGAGGCCGTGGGAGCCCCGTGGCCCCTTCTGGTGTGCAGTCGAACCTGGCGCTCCGCAGGAGGAGCAAGCACAAGAGGTAGTCGAACAATCGTATGGGGACGACTGTTTTGGGGGGTGTCGTTGGATCTGTTTGGGGCTATGTGTTGTTGTTCCTCCAGAACTGCCTGTAGGAGGACACGCCCGCCCGAATCGGACACCGAGCCGATCAACCTCGGGGCTCAAGCTCAAGTTTGTAATTAGTCGATGCCCTACTCGAGAATCGGAGTGCCCTGCTCACGCGGGTGGTTGGGTGCGCAAGTCTTCGTACGTAGGGTTCCTTACAACCCTCCAGACACAACATCTTGATGGGAAGATTCAGTCTTGCCCACCCCACCCGTAAGTCGGGCCTGTCCCTCTACAGGAGGAATGCGCAACAACAGTCAACAAAATAGTCGGGGTTCGATTTTTTGAAGATGTTGTTTTACTATTGTTGAGCACTAATGTTTTTTGTGTTTCTGCCAAAATCCGCCAATAGGGGGACACGCCCGACCTGACCCCACCCCCAGCCCCCAACCAAAGTTCGCCCAACTGATCGCGCTCGGCGGTCCCCCCCGCCAGCACGGGGGCCCGGGGGGGGGGCCACGGACCACACTGCCCCGCTGCGTTCTCGCGGCGGTACGAAGCATGCCCCACGGCCCTGCGCCTGCTTGCACCACGCTCTTTGTCACGGGAGGGCGGTCGTGTGTGTGAAGTCCTTTCGTATCTTTTTTCTATCCATCTATCCTGCTACCGTCTCGGCTCGGGCATTGGACACTGGACAGTCTTCTCAGATAGGACTCGCGCCGCTTGCCCGCGGCGCATGGGAAAAGGGCTCTCTCTCCTCCTCCTGGTCGTCCTCTACCAACGGACATCTCAGTAGGTTCGACCCTTCGGTCGTTAACCTACATCCGCAGGTTATCAGCCTATTGTATTTCGCTCTATGTCACGGGAGGGTGGTCGAGGGGCAGGTGGGTCCAGTGTCGATGCGGGCAGTCCGCGCGGGCCTCTGGAGGTGCACAGTCGAAACCAGTGGTGCGGATGGGCGTTGCGGAGGGCCATGCCAAGAAACACTCTGCCTGCCTCCAGGGTGCCCTGGGCTTCCTGGGTTTCGATGGTTTTCTGCCGCGGAGAGCGCGACGTTCCCACACCAAACATCAGTGGACGTCCTGGGGTCTCAGTGTTGGGTTTCTGGTGAAGGGTTTCTTGTGGACTGGCCTCCGCTGTAGCCTTCCCAAGGGTGCCCCCCGCCTCTGTGCCTTTTTAGTCCATCCTTGACTACCCTTACGTCGTGCCCCTCCCTCTACAGAAGGAATATTCACTAGTCAACAAGTAGTCTGGGGACGTTTCTGTTCCTATTATTGTTTAACTCTTTTCGATATGTGTTAGCTATTTTTTATTGAATCGCTTCGCTCATTCCGCCGGCCCGTGATATGGCATCGTTGGTTTTTGTCTGTGTGTTCGTTGCCCATGTTGCGCTCTTGGGGGCGGGTGTCGTTCGGACGCGTTGCGTGGGGAGTTTTGATGGTGAAGCAGTTCCCTGGGGGTCGTCTCTCGATGGGGCGAAATAGAGTCGTCGTCAAGATGCTTCTTTGGGGGGCCTCTTGGGGTCTGTTGAGAGGCCGTTCGGGGGCGCCTGGGAGACATGTTTGAAGCCTTCTGGGGCTTCTTTTGGGCCTCCTGGGAGTCTCCTGGGGCCTCTTGGCGACATCTTGGGGCCTCTTGGAGGCCTCTTGGGGCCTCTTTGGGACCTCCTGGGCGCCTTCTGGGACGGAGGGCTCCATTTTTGAGTTCTCGGTATCCCTCCTGAGTCCCTCTTGGGCCCGTCTTGGGGCCTCTTGGTCCGTCTTGGGCGGCACTTGGGCCGTCTTGAGGGCTCTCTTGGGTCGTTTCGGCGCCGTCTTGGGAGCTTCGTGGGCCGTCTTGGAGCGGTCTTGGGGGCCTCTTGGGCCGTCTTGGAGCGTCCGGAAGCCGAAAAAGCCAGAACACAAAAAACATAGAAAAAACTAATGAACATCAACGATTTTGGCCTCTTGGGGCTCTCTTCGGAGGCCTCTTGGAAGGCTCTTGGGGCGTCTTGGAGGCCTCTTGGGCTGTCTTGGGGGCCTTTTGGGCCGTCTTGGGGTTATTTGCCCTCCAAAATCTGCCTGCCGGAGGACACGTCCGACCTAAAATTGCCTTCAATGGCCCGAATCGGTATCCAAAGAAAGCCCCAAACCACGGGCGTCGGAGGGGCGCTTGTGCATCCGTGTAGCGCGCACCCTTGCTGCCAATGGTTTCGACCGCGCATGGTCGCGGGTTGCTCTCCCTCTCCGGGAGTCTGCTGCTCCTCTTCCCCTTCCTCTTCCCCTTCCCTCCCACTCCATGGCTGCTGCGTCGCATGGTGCAGCCCCCTTGCCTTCGCTGGCAGAGCTGGCACCGTTCATCATCCCTTCATCGCGTTCACGTGAACTGCGGGCAAGACTTGTGTCCATATCCGCTGCAGCTTGGAGTTTCGGGCTCCCTTCCCCAGAACCCCAAGGCGCACTGGAGACGGATAAACATCTGGCCCCTATATCGAGGCTCGATGTCTGTCCTTATCCAGTGAGCCTCGGCCTTGCAATGCCCCCTTCCAGGACAGTCCAAGACGCAACGGATATGGATACAAAGACTGCCCGCGTGAGCAACAAAATGATCATGCCGGGGCATCTCTCCTTCCCCCCCCTCCCCCCTCTCTCCTTCCTCCCCATCCTGCTCCCCTCTCGTTTCCTGCGTCAGTCGTGAGACGCTCCATTTGTTCTGCTTCACAGTCGGGCCTCTGTGTTCACGCAGTCCATCTGCAAGATGTCCCTTGCATTGTCACGAAGGGCTGCCAATCGTGCACTCTTCTGCCCACGCGTCCTTCCGGATGCTCGGCTCAGCCACGCCATGCCATGGGGCATCTCTCCTTCCAGCCCTCGCGGCCGTCGACGGCCAGCTGGAGGCCGCGGTGGCCCTGCTGGCCGCGGGGGCGGGCGTGAACGCCATGAACAGCTGCGGCGCGAGGCTCGGAGGAGGGCCCCCGTCGGGACAGCGGCGGCCCTCCCTGGCGCATCTCGGCCTTCCTCTGGGCATCGCTCGGGCTCCTTCATCGTCCCCCTCCTCCTCCTCGTCCCCTCCTCCTCCTCGTCCCCCTCCTCCTCCCCCTCCTCCTCCGTGTGCGTTTTGTTTCTCTCTTGGCATCGCTCGGACGTGTGCGTTTGTTCTCTCCGGCGAGGACCATCGAGGAGCCTCCTCCAGGGTGTTCGCGGTTCGGCCGGTTCGGCCGCGTCGTTGTCGCTTGCGGTCGGTCTGTTCGGTTTTGTCGGTTGTTCTGTCGTTGCCGCGCCGATGCGCCTTTTGGGGCTGCTTGCGGCCCGTCGGCTTCGGTCGGTTTCGGTTTCGCTGTCGGTTCGGTCGGTCTTCGGATTGTCGTCGCCGTGCGCGGCCCTGATCCGTGGCCATCCTGCAGCAAACACCCGCACGAAATCGCAACATGCACGGGGAATGGACGTCCCTGGCATCGCTCGGATGTGTGTATTTTTTCTCGGCGAGGACCCTTGAGGAACATCCTGGATCATCGAGCGAAAATTACTCACTGCGTGGAGCTCCCCATATGTGCATCCTTTTTTTAAGGTAATATTGTATATGGGTCTACAGGAACACACGTAAAACACCAAGGACTCGTGCCCCAGGAGAGGCCCAATATATAGGAACAAAGTAAAACAAGTAGGATTGCTTACACAAGAGAAGGACAATACATCTATATATATATATATATATATATATATATATAGAAACATACGTATAACATCAAGGAATCGTATTCCAGGTGAGGCCCAATCGATAGGAGCATACGTAAAACACATGGGATTGGAGCCACTCCTGTTGCCTTCTGAGGCCTCCTGCTCCTGGGGCCTCTCGGGGCCTCCTGTTGCCTTCCGAGGCCTCCTGGCGCCTCCTGTGGCCTCCTGGGGCCTCCTGTGGCTTCCTGAGGCCTTCTAGAGCTTCCTGGGGCCTCCTGGGCCCTCTTGGGACATCCTGTGGCCTCTTGAGTCTTTCTGTGGCCTCCTGATGCCTCCTGGGACCTCATGTGGTCTCCTGGGGCCTCCTGGAGCCTGTTGGAGCCTCCTGTGGCATCCTGAGAAGAATCTGCGCCCACGAGCCTGGCCACCAAAACAAGCAAACCGATCGAGACATCCTCAAAATCTGGCCCACCTGGGGGTGAAAATGAGCGCCTCGCTCGAGACATCCTCCAAATCTGCTCCGAAAGCGAAGGATGTTGGGCCCAGAAACAAGCAAACCGCCTGAGACATCCCCACAAAATGGCCGCGAACGAGCCCGTGCAACCACCCCTGGCGGCTCCCCTTAGGGGTGCTGAAACCAGCGCCCCGCCTGAGACATCCTCACAATCTGCTCTCCAAGCGAAGGATGTTGGGCCCAGAAACAAGCAAACCGCCTGAGACATCCCCACAAAATGGCCGCGAACGAGCCCGTGCAACCACCCCTGGCGGCTCCCCTTAGGGGTGCTGAAACCAGCGCCCCGCCTGAGACATCCTCACAATCTGCTCTCCAAGCGAAGGATGTTGAGCCCAGAAACAAGCAAACCGCCTGAGACATCCCCACAAAATGGCCGCGAACGAGCCCGTGCAACCACCCCTGGCGGCTCCCCTTAGGGGTGCTGAAACCAGCGCCCCGCCTGAGACATCCTCACAATCTGCTCTCCAAGCGAAGGATGTTGAGCCCAGAAACAAGCAAACCGCCTGAGACATCCCCACAAAATGGCCGCGAACGAGCCCGTGCAAACACCCCTGGCGGCTCCCCTTAGGGGTGCTGAAACCAGCGCCCCGCTTGAGACATCCTCCAAATCTGATGTGTGTTGAGTAAGTCTGAGTATGAGTAGGTCTGAGTATGAGTATGCCTGAGTATGAGTAAGTCTGTGTATGAGTAAGTCTGTGTATGAGTAAGTCTGGGTATGAGTAGGTCTGTGTATGAGAAAGTCTGTGTATGTGTACGTCTGGGTATGAGTAAGTCTGAGTATGAGTAATACTGTGTATGAGTAAGTCTGGTATGAGTAAGTCTGTGTATGAGTACGTCTGGGTGTGAGTAAGTCTGTGTATGAGTAAGTCTGTGTATGAGTATGTCTGAGTGTGAGTAAGTCTGAGTATGAGTAGGTCTTAGTATGAGTAAGTCTGAGTATGAGTAAGTCTGAGTATGAGGGGGGGAGGAGGAAAGAGGAGGAGGAAGAGGGAGTAGGAGGCGTCCAAGTAATAACAAGAACCCCATCTTGGGATATTGGGAAAAACACGCACGAGAGCGAACAATGCACGGGAAATGGACGTCCGAGCGACGGCAAGCGTCCGAGCGATGGCGAGCTCCCTCTGGTTGGAGCCGTCTGGGGGCCTGTGGTGGCCCAGCACGGGTTCCGGTCAGCAGGCGGGGTGGGCAGGTTCGGGTTGCTGTGTTCGGGAAGGTTCTCGTTTGCTTTCGTCTGGTGTACATGATGCGCCGCTGACGGCACCACAACCAGCTTTTTGCCTCCCGGTACTTCGCCTCCAGGTTCCTGTTCAAGGCGTACCTTTGCATGCCCTCGACCCGCGGATCAACAAAAATTGTTTCCTCTCTTCCGTGCCTGGGGCAGTGTTCGGGCCTCTGGACCGTGAGAAACGGATCCGAGGTGGAAGCTTACACCAGATGGACCCGAGAGGGGTCCAGGGACAGATTTTCGGTGCAGTTCTCGGTTCTCATCCGGTGTCTCGTGGAGGCGGCGTGTAGCGAGGACACCGCGCGCACCATGGAGCGAGCCCGGACCCACCTGTACGAGCAGGAGCAGCACGGAGGTCGTGCGGACGGATCGTGGAGCTATCGCCTGGCTGCCCGGATCTGGCAAGTCGTCTCCCGCTGCTGGCAGCCCACAGACAGTCCATGGAAGTACCATTTCGACCATCAAACTTTCGATGTTCGACTCCTTCGCCAAGAACACCTGGACCACCACGTGCGCCAGGCATGGCGGGCATGGATTTGGACACATTGCCACCGACGGACGCTCCGCAAGGAGGCCGCCGGCCGCGTACCAGCGCCTTGCCACACGACCCTCTGCGAGTGTCTGAACGAGCGCGCCGGGGCCGACCACGACCAGTTCGTTTTGGCACAGAGGTGCGTGATGGCAGCCGAGCCCAACGCAGTGCGCCTTTCGCATCTGCATCTGGATTGCTTTTCGCGCGCCTGCCCCACCTGCCAGGTGGACAACAACACCCACCACATGATGCACGAATGTCCGACCACGGAGCCGCTTCGTCGAGCGCACGGGGTCCATTTACCTCTACCACTCCCGGCCGACCTCTCTCAGGCCGAACGGAGCGCTGTCATGCTGCATGGTTGGCACGACCACCACCGCCCTCAACTCTGCACTTTGGCGTATCGGGTGCTCAACTACAAACTGGCGGTCTTCCGGCCGTGGCACGCCGCGTGGCTTGCAGCCGCCGATTCCGGCCGCCAGCAGCAACAACAAGTTGATAGCATTTTGTGCATCAGCGACAACAAGTGATTGCATGTTCTGCATCCTCTCAACAAGTATGCGCTTGTCGGCGCCTACTTTTAACTATAGTGTTTTTCTTCTTTCCTGCTTCGATGACATCAGACATCCTGTTGCAGTCAGAGCCGGCAGGGACAGATTTTGAGTGGATTTTGCCTCATCCCCCCTCTTGACCGATACTCTGGGGTCCCAACCAGTTCAGACCCCCTGGCCGCCTCCAACTTTCCGGGCCCCCCAAATGTATGATCGAATGATAAAAACCAAAAACACTCAACCATGTTTATTCGCGTTTCGCGTATCCTCATCAGCCCGGTCAGCAATTCTGCCCATGGGAGCTAACAGGGAAAGGGACGAAAAGACACATTGTGAAACAAAGCTGGTAACCAGGGTGAACGGTGACATCTCTGGAGCACCGGGGTGGCCTTGGAGGGCTTCTTCTGGTCATCCTTTGGGCCTGCATGGGGACATGGGACGGGGCAGGAGGGGGATGAGGACAACGACGACGACGATGACCACGATAACAAGAAACGGGAGGGAAATCAAACATAATACGATGAGGGCAAGGATGAGGACGAAGAGGGGGCTCTCTGGGGGGATCTTGGGGTCCTCTTGGGGCTCCCTTGAGGGGTCTTTGCTTTAGTCGGGCCTGTCCCTCTACAGGAGGAATATTCAAAAATAGCCAAACAGGGAACGATTTGTTGAATATTCTGTTCTGCGTTTTAGAAAAATTGTGTTGACTACTTTTTGTTTCGTCCAACATCCGCCTGTAGGGGGGCATGCCCGACCTAAGGCTACCGTGGAGGGCGTCGGTGAAAAGAGAGGGGTTCTAACGTTTGACTCCCCTCGGGGTCCTTCGAGCTCGCCCCTTGGGGCGCTCTTGGGGCCGTCTTATGGGCGATCTTGGACGCTCTCGGGGCCATCTTGGGGACCTCGTGGCCCCCCTTGCGGCTCTATTGAGGCAGCCTTGAGGCCTCAAAACCACATTGAAAGCGAAAAGGCGAGAAGGCACAAATCATTGATCTTCGTTAGTTTTTGAAGGACTTGGGCCTGTTGGGGGGTCCTGAAGGGGATCCGGGAGCACTGGCATGCGTCTCTTGGCCCTCCTCAGACCTCTTAGAAACATGTCGGAAGCTCTCTCGGGCCATCTTCGGCGATCTTGTAGCATCAGAGGCCCTCCTGGAGCCATCTCGGGCGATCCTGGGCGCGCGCGCGCGCTCTGACCGATCGCAGCCCGCCCCGAGAAGTCCCAGGCCCGAAGGGAAGAGGGTGCTTGGAAAGAGCAGACATCGCTAGTCCACCTTCGCCTTAAGTCGGGCATGTCCCTCCATACTGAATATAAAGTCTGGGGACGATGCTTCGATTCTTATTCGACCATTGTTGGGCACCTCTGGGCTATTTTACAATATTTGTCCTCCAAGATCCGTCTGTGGGTGGGCATGCCCGACCCAACCTTGGCCCAAAAAGGGCTGGTGGGATCTCTCCGAGGGTTTCTGGGCCTCCTCCTCCTGCTCCTCCTGCTCCTGCTCCTCCTCCTCCTGCTCCGCCTTTTCCTCCTGCTTCTCCTCCTCCTGCTCGTCCCCCTGCTCCTCCTCCTCCTCCTCCTCCTCAGCAATTTTCCGCCCGAGGGCGCCCGGCCGCCAGGGCGCGCTGCAGGCGTTGCGGCGGCAAACTTGAAAGTGGCCCCGCCGCCGCGAGCCAGGGATGTAGATGTGGGGGGGGTGTGACTCGAAAGAGGCGGACCACGGCGATGGGCTGGATGTGTCGTCGGCACCCGTGCTCCTTGAAATGTAAACACCACGGACTGTTGACGAGCGTTGCGCAAGCCAGTCTGCAGCCAACGACGAGGTTTGGTGGGACCCTCAGTGGGACAGGTAAGTCAAAACTGCTGGGGGGAGGCGGAGGTGGACATGGCGCAGTCGTCAGTCCACCAGGTGTACATGCGCACGGAGTCCGCCCAGTACACCGGGCCCGAGCTCCTGAGTGGGAAATCGTAAACAGGACCTTACTTGCCGTTGTTCGGGAAGGAAGGCGCCGAGGACATTACCCATGTATTCTCGGTTTTCTGGCTTACCCCATTCCACGACACAGGTTCATGGTGAGGCCCGTTTACGGCCATCTTGCAGCGAGGATGGCATCTTTCTTTCTTGTGCTCTTTGCCTTCATTTGTCGTTTGTTCCATGGGAGTGGTAAGTCCTCCCGTCACTTTGTGTTGGTGCAAGGCCCGAAAAGAATAAAAGAACGAGGCGAAAAGCACCAGGAGGAGGTTTGGAGTGAACCGAGAAACCCTTGTTTCGGAGTGGGCGTTTGGCCCGCTATATTTCGAAGGCGCGTCAGTGGCCAAGGTGCTGCTGGGAGGGAGCGCCCCAACGAGAACGCTGCAGCACCCTGTGCAGCAGAGCGGCCGCCTGTTGTATAGGAGCGCCCCGTCGTTTGGGCCCCTTTCACGAAAGGCCCCGCGCGTAGACCAGGAAATAGCCCAGGAAATAGTCCTCCTCCTCCTGCTGCTCCTCCTCCTCCTCCTCCTCCCCTCCGTGTCCCCCTCTTCCTCCTGCCCCTCCTCCTCCTCCTCCTCTTCCTCCTCCTCCTCCTCCTCCTCTCTGAAGGCCGCGCGGCCTTTCCTCGGAGCGGTGCCGCCCCGCCCCGCCCCCCTGGCGCGGCGCCTCCGCGGGGTCCTGCGGCGCTCCAGGGAGGGGAGGCCCGGCGCCCGCCCCCAGGAGAATTCGCGCGGAACTCCCCGACACGATGCCGAAGTGCCTCTGCAGGATGAGATTCTCAATGATGATTGTTTTTTGTTTTCAATCACGTCTGATCACGACTTGTGGTGGTCTTTTGAGTATTTGTGAGTATGGAAAAAAGGATAAGGATGAAGTCGGGTTACGATCTTTGGTGCCAAATTGCATATTTTTGAGCATGTTTGGCTCTTCGTGGGATGTCTCTCGTCCAACATCCGCCTGTAGGAGGGCATGCCCGACCTGGCGCTGTGTTGGTGCCGGTGGCCGCTCCTCGCCTCCTTGGCACTGCTCGCCCTTCCCGGGGGCCTCCCGGAGGACTCGGCCTCTCGTCGCCGAGGCTGGAGCTCCGCCTCGAGGGGAACGGCCAGCTATCTTGGCACCGCTCGGGCGTGTGCATCTTTTGCTCGGCGAGGACCATCGAGGTGCATCCTGGATCATGGAGCCAAACCAAACTCGGAGGTTGAGAGAACTCCTGCCCTGACACGTCGATTCGCGAGTCGGCCGTTTTCGGTTCGCGAGGGGGCGTCGCGCAAGTCGTTCTTGCGGGTCCAGGTCCGTCGGTTTCGGTCCCAGGCCGTTTTTTCTCAAAAGGGTGGCTTGCTAAAGGGAGGCTTGTCCACCGCCGAAAAAAAAAACACGCGCACCATCGAAGAGTGCACATCAGCCAGCATTGACTCCAAATAGATAGGAGGACAGGAGGAGGACGAGAGGAGGACGGGAGGAGGACGAGGCATAGGAGTCAGGGGGGGGCATAGGCATAGGCATAGGCATGGCCATAGGGATGAGAGGGGGTCATAGGAATTTGGGTGGGTGGGGGGGGGGGGGCAACGGACCGGCGAGTAGGGTCTGAGTTGGAACTCCTATAGGGCGAGCTTCGTTGGAGAACAGGGGTGGGACGTCCGAGCGATGGCGCGGCACGTGGCCTCCGCGAGAGGCCCAGGGACCACAGAGGACCGCCTCGGGGAGTGGGCCCCGGGCCGGGCGGGAGGGAGCCGCCGCCGCCTCGGCGAGGGCCCTCCTCCGAGATGTACCGCTGCACTGGGCCGCAAAGTCAGGATGCAACTTCTCGGAGGTCCGAGTCGTCGCTCGGTATCGTTTGTCCGATCCCCATCCCCATCCCCGTCCCCTTCGAGACCCCCGCCAGATTCCCCCCCCAGTTGGGGATACACCCCTCGAAACTCAAAGGGAACGGCCTAGATCCCCATCTAGGGGGTCAATCGGCCAGTGGGGCCCAGGCCACGCCGCTGGGGATGGGGATCGGATAAACGATACTCAGTCGCAGGCCTAGAGGTTGACACCAACACCAATATCGGCTGTGTGCCTCCACCGAAGGAAGAGGACCCCGATCTCGGTGATGTTGATCAGATTCTGACTTCCAAGGTGACCTAAATATGTCCACCAACACCGAAATCTAGTAGCATCTTACCCCTGTGGAGGTGTGGTGCCCATTTCCAGGCCTCCAAATTCGGCATCGGCGCTGGAGTCTCCGTGGTCGAAGATTGGTCGAAGCTGGCACATTCCCGTGGATCAGAGAAGGAAAAAAGTACCCATACTTCTACCCTCCCCTCGTCATCTTTTTTGGGGGTCTCTTGGGCATCTGTCGTCGCCACCGCTGGATTCGCCTGGAAATCCTTGTCAGAACGCACCCCAGGAGAGGTCCGGGGAGTAGCGATATCGGTACCTTTCGGTTTCCCCAGCTGAATCCCGCTGAATCCCGCCTGGGATGGCTCGATCCCGGCTCTCATTTGGGCGCGTCCAGCTCATACGGCCACTTACGCGGGTTGAATTGCGTTTAGTCTTAGGTCGGGCCTGTCCCCCAACAGGGGGATTCTGCTTGAAAAAATACCGAATTCTCTAAAACATATTCCCCAAATGCTCGAAGATAATCAAACAATAGTCCCCAGACTATGTTTAGACTATTCTTGACCCCCCCCCTGTAGAGAGGCAGGCCCGACGCAAGTTTGGTCGTGGACACAAAGACCTCTCAACATCGGGCGGGGCCAGGACCGATCAATCGCTCCAGAGCGTTCCAGCATACAGTCGGCCCGGATTGGTAGGTCGACCCTGTGGCGTCCTCTCGCGTGCCTCCTTACACTCCTGTGGCGTCCTCTCGCGTGTCCTCTCGCGTGTCCTTCGGAAGGGTCTTGTGCCCTCTCGCGTGTCCTCTCCAATCAAGTCCGACTGGATGCTCGGACTGAGCGGTAGAAGGCTCCGGAGCGGTCGCAGCGCCTGCTCCAGAGCCGCCGGATCTCGGAGATCCCCGATGTCTTCCTGCCCGCTGGCGTCCCTGCCCTGGCTTCAAAGTCGGGCCTGTCCCTCGATCTACTGGAGGAAAGTTCTAGAATAGTCAAAAAGTGGTCGGGGGGCGATTTTCAGTGTATTTTTACGTGCTTCTAAGCATTCGTGGTTTTTTTTTTATTTTTCGCCCAAAAGTCCCCGTAGGAGGACACGCCTGACCTAACCCTGACTTCGTCTTGCAGCAGTTGCCTCCTAAGCCGAGACGGGCAAGAGGGACCTGTGCCAGCTGCTGGTCGCGGCCAGGTCCGACCTGTCGGCCACCGACAACCTGGGCAGGACCCCTGCGGAGATGGCCGAGGACAACAGGCGGGCTGCGGCAGCAGCTCATGGGGAGCCTCGCGTGTCCTCGGAGTGCTGTGTCTGGAGCCGGCGGCGAGCCCCTGGGGGGAGGGCAGACGGGCCTTCTCAGTAGGCTCAGAAGGCTTCGGGCTTTCTGAGGAGCTTCCAAGGCCTTCCCCGAAGAGAGAGAGAGAGAGAGCTTCTCAGAGGGCTGGAGGGCTTCTGTGAAGTGAAGTACCGCAGCCTTTGAGAAGGCCTGCCCCCTCTCACTTCGCCCCCGGGCGCTCCGCTGATAGAACGCATGAATTGCGTGCGGTAGCGCCTGGTAATTCATGAGAGCGCGCATATTCAGTGTCGATTGGCATTGGCCAGCGTCGATTCGCACGATCCAGCAAGACAGCATTCGAGTAATTAGGACATCGATTGCAAACTTGATTTACCCCAAACTTGAAACTTTCGCTGGATGCGAAGAATGTCTGTAGCTGCGATGACTATATGTTTGATATCCGACTGAAGCAAATGTAGGGTACAGCCTCTCTGCAGTCGATATCCAACACGATGCTTGTGATGCTTCAACCTACTTTGGCTTTGTTTTCCAGAAAGAATGTCGAGCAACACGGAAGTACCGACACTGGAGCGCTTTGGGAGGGGATCTTCGCTCGACGCGTCCCAGGCGTGTCGGGCAGACATTGCTTCGACACTTTCTTTGGTACTCGAAACTATTTCTGGGATGTAGCCCGTAAGTACGATGGGAACGACATACAGTAGGGGCCCGACCACAAAAGACCTTCCACAAGAAACCCGACCCCAAGACCTCAGGACGTCCCTTGATTTTGGGTTGGGGAGCGTCACGATATTCATCGCAAAAAGACATCGAAACCCAAGAGGCCCAGGGCCTCCTGTATTCAAGCAGGGTTTCTTGGCATGGGAAGCTCCCGCGAGCTGCCGTTGCAAAAGGTGGGCCGAGCTCGCCAGGGAGCTCCGCGCCCCCGGGGGCGGGGCGGACGGAGGCGCCCCCGGCTGAGGAGGGACCTGCCTCGCGGCCCCAGCTGCCCGCTTGATGGGCCGAGCTTCCACCACCGCTGCCACAGGTAATTCGGAGAGAAAGGAGGAGGAGGAGGAGGAGGAGGCGGAGGAGGTGGAGGAGGAGGAGGAGGAGGAGCAGAAGGAGGAGGAGGAGGAGGAGGAGGAGGAGAAGGAGGAGGAGGAGGAGGAGGGTTCAGGGTTGAGGAGGAGGAGGAGGAGGAGGAGGGGTGAGGGGTGAGGAGGAGAAGGAGGAGGGTGAGGAGGAGGAGGAGGAGGAGGAGGAGGAGGAGGAGGAGGAGGAGGAGGTGGAGGGGGGGAGGGGGAGGAGGAGGAGGTCGAGGCTGACGAGGAGGAGGAGGTGGTGGAGGAGCCAGAGGAGCCAGAGGAGGAGAAGGAGAAGGAGGACCCCCCCCCCATCCTCCCTTCTCCCCCCGCCCAACCTATGGTGGCGGTGGCCGTCCTTCTTATGGTGGCGGTGGCGTCCCCGAAAAAAGATCTGCTTCTCCGCCCCGTCAGCCCACTGCTGACCGTTCTCGCCGTCCTCTTCGATCTCCTTCACGGTCCTCGATCCCGCGAGGTCGTCGTCGTCGTCGTCATCAAAATCGAGCTTTGAGAGTCGGGGGTCGATGCAAACGGGGGTCAGCCCCGTTTCCCCACTGCCAGGGCTCATCGCGACTCCTCCAATGCGATTCGGCCTTGGATTCCGATTCGGGTTCCGATTTCTCGATGGAGGCCTACTAGCCTGCCGATTTCCACCAATTCGAACTCCCAACTCGGCTGCGGATTCCCGCCGATCCGATTCATGCTGATCGCCGATCCGACTTATCGAGCTTTAAGAAACGGGGGTCAATGCAAACGGGGGTTAGCCAGAGCGCCGGATCTGGCAGGATCCTGCGGAGCCAGGGGTGCATTGACCCAGATAAGCGCGCAGGATCATGTAGGATTTTGCAGGCTTGACCCGGGTCTGCATTGACTCGCGTCAGTGCGTTCCCCAAACAGACTTACTTCTCCGCCCCGGCAGCCCCATGCTGATCGGTTTCGTCGTCCTCTTCGTCCTCCCTCGTGGTCCTCGATCCCGCGATGTCGTCGTCGTCGTCGTCGTCGTCGTCGGCGACAGCCTCCTCGCCATTTTGTTTTCATCCCCCTTCGCCAAATCGCCTTTGTCTTTACCCTCCTCTAATTATCCTCGTCGTCGTTATCTTCGTCCTCACATCTCATAACACATATTCCTCTACGCCATCCTCGCCTTTCTCGTTGTCGATGTCCTCCTCCTCCTCCTCCTCCTGCCCTCCTTCCTAGCCCTCCCAGACACACGCGTCTGCTGATCCTCCGTCTCCGCCTCCTCCTCCGCTTCCTTGTGCCGGCCGCCTGGCGTGACGCCGATGGCGTCCGAACTTCCTCCTCGCCCTCGTTCTCTCGACGGTCCTGGGGCTCGTTCTCACTTGGGGGGGCCACTTGGAGAGGAAAGATGTACCAAGTCCCATCACCCTCCCACCCGCCTCACTGCTTGAGAGGTTGAACTCAGCATCGACCGACCTCAGCATAAGCATAAACCAACCTCCGCCTGTAAGAGGGCACGCCCGACCTCAGCATAAGCATAAACTCTTGGCGCACCGCGCGGATTTCTTGTACCCGCGCGGTGCCCCCCCCGGCGTCACCTCTGGCGCGCGCTCCGCGCGCCAGGGAGGGGGGGTCTGGCGCAGATCCAGGGAAGTCCGCGCGGAGCGCCAGAAGTTCATGTTCATGCCCTTTTGTTCTCATCACCTGGGCCCCCCTGGAACTGCTAGGAGCCACCTCTCGGGCGGGGCCAGGAGCGGGACGAAGTGTTCCAGGGTGCTCCAGGACGCGCTCAGAGCCTTCGGAGCACGCTGGAACGGCCGCGGCGCCCGAAGTATGTCCCTATATCTATATGGATACGCGCTTATGTACGTATTTTAGTGTATATGTGTATATATATATATATAATGTTAGCCATATATATAATGTTAGCCATCGTCGATCCCAAGCAGCGATTTCTTGCAATATAGATGCAGTGCAACCTAGGTAGTGGAATACATGTGGTACAATCTATGCGGTACAACGCCATGCAAAACAATGGACCAATATAATACGCTCTAAAGCAATGAATGCAACACAATGCGCAGCAATGACGCAACGCAATCCAAAGCAATGCAAATCAAATAAAGCAATGCAGAACAATGCAAAGCAATGTGATGCCAATCGCAGCCATGCAGATCAGAGTAATGCAAAGCCATCTTCGCAGTGCGATTGCCATGCAGTGCCACTGCAGCGCAAGACAATGCGATTGCAATGCAACAGCAGGGGGTGCAGGGCGCAGCGGGGCGGCGGCGACGGGCGGGAACGGGGGCCGCTGTGGCCGCACACGGGCCTCTTCTCTTGGAGACCTGGGCCGGCGACGGACGGGATCAGGGGCCGCTGGGGCCGCGCACGGGCCCAGCTCCTCAGAAGAGAGGCAAGGATTCCGCAGCGCAAGCATTGCTCGGGGAATCTGTCTCGATTTGCCCCGACCTTCAACAATACTCCTCCTCCTCCTCCTCCTTATCCTCCTCCTCCTTATCTTCCTCCTCCTTATCTTCCTCCTCCTGCTCCTCCTGTTCATCCTCCTCCTCCTCCTCCTGCTCCTCCTGCTCCTCCTTCTCCTCCTCCTCCTCTTGCTCTTCCTCCTCCTCCTCCTCCTGCTGCTCACCTCCTCCTCCCGAGGGCCACGATGTGCCCCGCTCCGAATGTTTGCTCCGGTCTTGGCTTCGTTTCAAGAGTGGGCCAGCGATCGTCAGACATCCGATGGCCGGTGGCCCTGGCTCCGTTTCCAACGTGGGCCAGGGTTATGTTGCTCCCATTCTACTTAAGGACCGGATCCCAGAAATAATTTCGAGCACCCAGAAAAGTGTCGAAACAGTGTCGAACGAGTGTCGCCTCCCTTGGCCCGACACGTGAGAACCCTCAAGTTTAGGTACTTCCTGGGTGCTCGAAATTATTCTTGGTGATCAAGGCTAAAATGGGGAACATCATAAGACCAGGGATCGTCAGATACCCGATGGCTTGTGTTTTGCCATGCGCGGTCCCCGGAAATTGCGACTCTCCCCCCCCAGTGCCGTTTTTTTGTTTGTTCCTCCCGCGCCGGCTTTTGACGGTCCCCGGGGCCCTGCGAGGGCCCCCAGAGACAGAAAAGCTTTGTCAAGTCGGGCATGCCCTTCTACAGGAGGAATATCCGAGAACAGGAAAAATTGTCTGAGGACCACGTTCCGTGCTCTAAGTATGTATTGTTTGATTATGCTCTAGATGTGTGTATTACTGTCCGGAATTATTATGATGGCCACTGGGGACATTTGTTGATGCTTGTTTTTGATGCGTTCTTTACAAATACGCCTGTAGGAGGGCACGCCCGACCCAAAATTAAGAGGAACCTCCGCCTTGAGGTTCTCCAGGCGTCGGAGGTCTGGGCACCTCTGAAGATTGTTTTGTTTTTCTTGGTTCCTCTGGCGCGCGCGCGTCAGATCGCTACCAGGGCCAAACCGCCCCCCGGGATCATTGCCCTGCTCGACATCTGACTGTGCGAACAGAGGGGACATCTGCGCCATTCTAAGGGACGGGAGGGAGGGGTAGGACGTCAGATATGACGCGAGCGCACCTAGCTTGTCTTCCCCCCTCCCCCACGATCGTGCGCACACGATGCGGGATGCGGAGGATCAAGACCTTACAGGGGGCTCGTGTGCACGCGGGGGCTCCTCCGTCCCTCCCCTTTTTCCTGCACCTGGCGCCGGACACTCTGCCGATGGGTGCCACCGATTCTCGCCCGACGCTGGTGCGCATCGCCTCCGCCTCGCCGCCCGCGATGGTGCGCACGTGCTGCAGGACGCAGAGGATCAAGAAATCGGTCGGGGTCGTTTTCACGCGGCGGGCTGCCCTGGCTGGCCGCTGCGGCCCGATCGCCTCGGAACTCCTCGGCGTCTGGGCACCTCCTCTCTGCTTCCCCCGCGCGACCGCTCTATAGGTCTTCTCCCCTCCTCTCGGGCACGCCGGACAATTCGCATGGTCTCGATGCCCCCGATTCGCCCGAAGCTGGTGCGGATCGCTTCCGCCTCGCCGCCGACGAACAGAAAGTTCACGCGGCGGCGCCCGGGATGAGGATCCGAAACGCCGGCCCTCCCGCCCGCCCGCCCGCCTTGGGGCGCGTGTTTGGACGGCCGACGGGCCAGTTTTCACCCCAAATCCGCCTGTAGGAGGACATGTCCGACCTAAGGGTAACGACCGTTACTAGAAATAATGAACTGCCCGAGATGTATCGAACCCCTTCTCTCAGCGCGAGACGACTGTGCACACGAGCGCTCCGTGCAGAGAACAGCATTTCACCAGCTAACAGAGGTCATGATAATGAGTGAACGCGCATTCTTAAACCAACTTATGGAAAAGCGATGGTTCACTAAAGCGAGAAACGGATGTATGAAATTGCTCCGCCAGATCAAAGCAAGCTAAGCCATCATTCAGTATACGCAAGAACCGGTATGCTAAATTCAAAAACGGATGTTCTAAATCTGGGGCCGTTGTTCTGAACCTCAGATCCGATCATTACCATGTCCTGGGTGGCTCGATCAACACTGCGCGAGATGTGCGACACTCCGAGAGGAAAAAAACGCCGCGCTCAACCATGGCCGAGGGCCACGCGCGCAGCACGCCTGCCTGCGCACACCGCGCCACTCCGCTTGAGCCGGTTTGTATAATTTTTCTTCTGGCTGCCCGTGGGGTTGTGGGCTGTGCAGCAGTCGCCAAAGTCGTGGGCGCCTGGGAGGTCTCGTTCCTGTCCTCCGGCTTGTGTCGTTTCTGCGCTTCTTGTGGCCGGTCGTCCCTTCGGATGGGCCCGTGTTCAACCACCACCACCATGGGGGAGGAGGTGGAGGAGGAGGAGGAGGAGAGGGAGGAGGGGGAGGAGGAGGAGGAGGAGGAGGAGGAGGAGGAGGAGGAGGAGGAGGAGGAGGAGGAGCCCCTCCCCCTCCAACTTATGGTGGTGGTGATGGAA